ATTGATGGGTGTTTACTCTGTCAAAGATATCTTCACAATGTCAAGCTTATGTTCTTCTTTTATCTTGACCGCATTAGCCACCTTTCTTGCATGAATGAGGCGATTTGATTGGATTGCAAACCAGAATTACAGCAAAACAGAGCCCTCGACAGAAATCTTAAAACTTCATGTTATCACCCAAGGATAAACCCTATAAAAAATCAGAAAAATCGAAAAATGTTTACTATGAGTTATTGCCCCTGTTCAATTTTTATCTCGTAAAGCTTTTGACAGATTTTGAGGCAATTTGGTGTGAGTGTTAACCAGAGTATGAACCCTATCAAATAATCAAAAAATTGACCTTGTTCTTGAAAACGCTTTCAAATTGTAGCTCTTAAACACTAAATGGCATGATTCTTGCTGGGTTTTGACAAAACTTGGTTTTGGTATTCAGTACTGCTCAGAAGGTTGAATTCTAGAGTTTTCACGAGCTAAAAATTGAACACGTTTTAAAGAACAAGGGCAATAACTCATACTCAATATTATTCAGTATCGCCCCAAAGAGTTCAAAAGAAGTGTATGACTGAAGGTTGAATATTTCATACTGGTGATTGTTACTGTACTGCTAAATATTTGTATTCAAAGTCAAAGCTGCCAGTGAAGGTATATTACCTTGCCTGGCAAGCTATCTTTAGTATTAATATTACCTTATTTCAACAGAGAAGGAACATACACAGTGCCAAAATTCCAATGCATTGTTTAAATTAAATACCTTTGTCACAATATAGAATTTACATTTCATAGTTTAAAATGTTATAAAGCATAAAAATCTTTTTGTACATCTCTAGTACTTTCATTTATTCATCCCCCCAAAATGGTGCATCTGTTTCTTTAACAAGAAAACTTGCTGGCAGAAAGATTTAAAAAGAGTAAAAATTCTATTTTGTGTTAAATACTGAACAAATCTTATTGATCCTACCATTTGACTATTAGATTGAAAAGCTTTTATTTTCCTCAACTGGTTTCTCTTTAGACAAATTACAGTCTTAACAATTCCTTCAACAAAATGAAAAATAAAGAGATTTTGTGATTTAAGGAAGATGAAATTGAAAATAAAATGTTAGTGTTACAAAACTCACTAACAAACTTCGCAGCTGTGTCTGGAATTTAATTCCCTATTAGAATCATATTTTACAACAGGGTTCCTGAAGTAAATTAGCTAGAGCTGAGGGGTTTTTGATATTAGAAATGGCTAAAAATCATTGTCGTTGAGCCCATTTTGTCTTAAATTTATATCCTTAATAAGGATTAATGCAATACTTTTAACAAAATGTTTGTAGTGATGTATACCTCACAAATTATTCAGATGCAGGAAGACTGGCACATGTACAATGGATGTGTAGATTTTTATGTAGGGATAGAAAGGATCCTTGTGAACCTAAGTTGTTATAAAAAATTGTTGCGCTTTTTCCTTATTTTCACCATTTTTTGTAAGCAAAATATGTTACAGAAATTATCATATCATTTTCATCTTTAGTAAGTATATAAATATAGATATACAATATTCATGTGAACTAGTAAAGCATTCCTTAAAATTGTTAAAATTTTGTTCAAAATTTAGATAGTAAGATCAACAAATTTCTGTGCATTTTTTTTTAGGATTGATGAATATATAATAATAAAATAATAAATAAATCTTTATTATACCAGTAAGGGCAATTCATTGTATAACAAGAGATATCTTGAACGCAAATGAATACAAATAGGAACCACACAATAATACACAACATAAATACAAACAGGAAACATACACAATGTAAATACAAACAGGAAACACACACAATGATACACAACATAAATACAAACAGAAAACACACATAATGATACACAACATAAATACAAAGAGGAAACACACACAATGATACACATCATAAATACAAACAGGAAACACACACAATGATACACATCATAAATACAAACAGGAATCACACACAATGATACACAACATAAATACAAACAGGAATCACACACAATGATACAAAACATAAATTCAAACAGAAAACACACATAATGATACACAACATAAATACAAACAGAAAACACACACAATGATACAAAACATAAATACAAACAGGAAACACACATAATGATACACAACATAAATACAAACAGGAAACACACACAATGATACACAACATAAATACAAACAGGAATCACACACAATGATACAAAACATAAATGCAAACAGGAAACACACATAATGATACACAACATAAATACAAACAGGAAACACATACAATGATACACAACATTGATGTAAACCTACATATAAAACTGAAATTTCGTTAATCATACTCTAAATTTTCAACAAATTTTAATGGTTGCAAAAAAATCCTTGACTTTTGTTTTTGGCATCATAAAATATAATAAATGTTCAGAGAAAAAATTAAGCGATATAAATAATCAAGAATATGAAAAATGGAAAATTAATGAAAGAATCTGTCTTACTGTTATAGATAGTTGAAATATTTCACTGCTCAACACATACTACGTGAAAAATATCCACAAACTGTTATAAAATATAGATGAAGTGAGAGTTGAACTGCAATCTGAAGTTTGTATTTAGAGAGTAGAGTTTCAGTCAACTGTAGGCAGGTTGTCAGTGAAGGGTTTTGATAGAATGATCAATGTTTTGTAAGACAGACGTCACTTTCTAGAGTACTCTAATGATATTTTAAGTCTTGTTCTGTGGTATTTGTGATTAAACAGAGAAAATGGTCAATAACTATTGGTGATAACCAAATTTACTTTAATTGTATTTTGGCTGAATTGATTATTTCTAGAAAATACATTTACTTTAAGGAATTTCATGAAGATGTTGTATATATATTCTTTTACCAACAAATTGATTCTAGACTACCCTTATATCACATTTCAGAAAAAAATATGATTCATCAATGATATAATGGAATATTGGTGACGATTTGATTTGAGATCTTTTGTCTTTTTGGTGAAGATATGGTCTGTACCAGCATTGCTAAAAAAATGATGTAGATAAGAGCAATTCCTGAAAAGTTTTACAGATAAGACTGGAAATTGACACATGTGTCAAAGACATTGACAGGAATAATTTAGTTCAATTCGAGGTGTTGAATTTTAAAGCTTCAAAGTAAGTTTGGAAATGAAAAAGTCATTGCAAACTTTTATTGTGTGGTCTATCACACATTAATTAGAACTGTAGTTTTATAGAAAATAATAGTGCAAGTTTATAATGATGTCCATATAAAGCATGTGATCTATTTAGAATCTATTATGTGTTTTATTTCTAAAAGATTAATGTTTTGTAAAAATAATTAATCTATTGTCTACTTCATTAATTTTCTGAATCTCTATCCCATTCATTGTTATAGATAGTCAATTTGTATTAGGACTTTATTCAATATATTCATTATTATTAATAGATTTTCCAGACACAGATAATTCTATTTTATACAAGTAATCTATAACATTAGTACGGTACATATTTTTCAATAGGTTTCTACTGGAAGGAGGATCATATCCGTAGGGGTAGTGGTGCTGTAGTAAATGTACCCCATTACATAAAAGATCTCCATACATTTTGGCTTTAATGGAAATTGGTCACATGTAACTGTTAAAAAATTGTTAATATTTGAATCTATGAGCTTCTGCGTGTAATTTTAATATGCCCAGATTATAATGTGGTCATATATTTTTGTCCTCGCCTCTGACCATCTGTCTTTCCACAAATAGCTTGTGAACACATTAGAGACTACAGTTTTTATCTGATTTTGATGAAACTGAGTGTGATCATTTATAAAAAGAAATGAGATCTTAGACAAGTTCGAATTTGGCGATCCTTCAGTGAACGTTTTTTCAGTTTTGCCCTTGATTTAGGAAAAAAATTTGTTTGTGAACACAATAGAGACTACAGTTTACATCTGATTTAAATGAAATTTGGTGTGAATATTTATAATGATGATATCATGGTCAAGTTCAAAGGTGACATCTTTCAATGAACATTTTTTGAGTTATTGCTCTTGACTTAGAAAAAAACGGTCATAATTTGTTTGTGAACTCATGGAGAAATTAAAATCTTGACTTTAGAAAATTTTTTCCTTGACTTGAATATTTTGGCTTGTTAACGTAATAGAGGGGACAGTTTATGTCAGACTATTATTAAATTTTGTGGGTTTTTTTAAATCAACATTATCTTGCACAAATTAGATTTTTGGTTCGACTTGACGCAGATTGTTGACCCCCCTTGACTTACTGAAAATGAATCAGGAAAGTGGGAGTATCTTGCTAGGCATCCACTTGTTACTTATTCTGTTGCTACACCCAGTTACCCGATCTACCCATCTTTAATTTGGATATATTTACCTGAATACTTGCTTTAGCAGTTGATAGAGTTCAGGCAATAAGGAAGATTGGACCAATGTTTCTTTACAAGCATTAAGTAACATTCACCAGTACTTTGATGCCATGCTTTGTGAAACCTGTTGTTAGATGTATTTGATAACATGGTACAGGAAACAGAAATAAAACATAAGAGTTATAACAATGAATAATTTAAGTCCTTTTATGTTTAAACATTATATCAAGAGGTTACATAAACTAATTACCACAGATTCTCTGATTCTAGTTATTTTTGTACTTGAAGTCAAATATTAACTTGAGTGATGAAAAAATGCCATGTTTATTCAACATTATTTTGCTTTAGGAATCAATTAATGATATTGCATCAGTGTTGAGATGTTCTAGATGTAGTATTAAATATATACTGATCAAGTTTAGGCTTGTGTATTCCAGAAAATCATATGATTTTTAGAAATGCATGACGTGACTGTAAATCTGAAAACTCTATCAACTTAATAAAATGATGTTGTTTGGGTTTGTGTTAAAGCATGCATACTGATATCCGCCAGTCGCTGCTTTACAGTTTATTTGATGGCTGATTTAAATGAACATATTGATCAACAAACAATTTGAATATTTTACAGGATAATAAAGCTGCTAAGAACAGAGAGAGAGACGCTGCATTAAAACAACAAGAAATTGATAATTTAACTGGTAAACGACATCTTGAAATACAGAAAATAAAACAACTACTAGCCAAGAAGAAATTAAAGATATTTGAGGTAAATATGTTCAATCAGTTATTATCTATGCATAATTTTAGAAAGAGAATTTGAGTTGACTAGCAATCTTGACAAATGGATTAGGTGAAACAGAAAATGATTGTATTTTTGGAATCACAGGAATGTAAAAAGTTGTATTCACAGTTAATAATTCTTCTGTTTCAGATTCCTTCAGATGGAAATTGGTAAGTTCTTCCATTTTGAAACTAAGCTATTACAAACTTTGCCTTATGATTGGCTGTATTTGCTGGCGTACAATCCAATCAAATCGCTGCATTTTGTGACACAAGAAAGACGGCTTGTGCAGTATAAGATGCATTGTATTAGGTAGAGAAAGGATTAAAAATGGAGATCTAGTAAAACATTACTCAATTAAATTAAGTATGAATATTGTGAACAGATCTATTATGTATCCCATCACAGAAATGACTGATTGTTTGAACTGCTGTTAGTAATAAATGAACAGAAATATCACTAAATTTGTTATTATCTTATATTACAGTCTATATAATGCAGTTAGTCATCAGATGCAGAATGAACATAATGCCAAGGTAAATTCCCTTTCGCTTCAATTCAGTTGAATTTTAATTTGCCATTTATCATACAAGTGAAACTAAAATATATAACAATTACAAGTTTGAGATATGAATTTCATATTTCATAAATTCAGAATAGACACAAAGTGTACAGCTGAAAATAGAGATGCATGTATTTGGTACTATCAAGATATTATAAATTTAGCTATATTAATCAACATCACATGATATATATTATTCTGTTTATTTAGTTGACCAATAATAGTTTAAGAAGACAAACTGCAGATTATATGAAGTCTAATGAAGATAATTTTATACCATTTTTAACTCGACAAGATACTGGTGACTGCTATACACATGGTAAGTAGGTAATCAAGATATTTCACTGCTGACTATTATTATATATGCCCACATTGTAATATACAAATTCCAAAAAAAAATTTGAAGATGATTGATGATGATCTCAGTTGTAAAAAATGATGATATTTATGAAGATATAATAATAATAATAATGTGTTTATCTATCAGGGTCACAGATCGCTTTTTCAATGCTGGGGGGACCAGTGGAGTATGCAGGATTTATTCAGAATTCGAATTTGATTGCAGAGTATAGAGGCATGAGAACGTTTCAGTTGGTGACACCGTATCTATATCGCTCTCAGAAATAATATAGAAAGAAAGGCACCTTCTTGCATGTTACTGAATTTTCCAGCTACATGTGCCCCTTCGTAACGACGCTTCTGTGAGTGGAGATTGGTCCCTAAACGAACAAATGGTCTTCCTGTCACTCGACCATAAATTGTTCGAATAGTCACAAATTTCGGGGCTTTGATGTTCTTGGATGCCAAATTGTGCCTATTTTATGTCCATGACAGACACTCTACTCAACCAAGCTTGACAATTTGTGGGGGGGGGGGGAGGTGGGACACAGGATATCATGTCCCCCCCCCCCCCCAGGTGTTTTGATGGGGAGGACTGCCATAAATGCTAATGTATTTCCATATTACAATGGTGTAATGACAGTTAACTATGATCAGAATGTACTTGTATGTGAACTAAAGGTCATTGTACATGAAACTAGAGACGCCATATTGTTATATTATTTCAGAGGAATATGAAAAATATTGTGAAGATATAGCTAATACTTCAGCTTGGGCTGGTCATTTAGAGGTAAGATATTTTCATGAAAATGCACTTGAAATTTATTTCTGTCTTAGATTTGTAATGCTTATGAAAAATTCTGTATAAATGCAATGCCAAAAAAACAAGAAAAACTGCATAAATTACCAAAAATACAAATTAAACTTATTTTGTTAGTATTTATGATCACTGAAAATGAAAATTACAAAAGAAATTTGAAAGTCTTATCTTAAATCTTGAATATACCTGTATTTTGCAGATTCAAGCCATTAGTTCTATATTAAACTGTAGAATAGAAATAGTACAATCTGAAGGATCACCAATCATCTTAGGTGAAGAATATACTGATAATTTTACTTTAGTCTTACCGTAAGTAGGTTTAACTTATTTAAGTGTCTGATGAAACATTGATTGAAAAAAATAGTAATGATAGCTTAAGATAAGTTTCTGGGTATAAAAATCACTTTGTGTATCATGGACTCTATGGAAGTTTCTATTACATCTGATCTCAAATTTCTACATCTTAAAAGATTTTGTTGAACTTATCGCCCTTGACTTTGCTATAGGATAAGCGTTTTCTTTTGGTGTTACAAATTTTGATATTAATGCCAAATTGCAAATATGAATAGATTTATTCCTCTCCTGTCGGACCACTGGTATCTGCTGATGATACTTGTGTATATTGGTGTTAATCATAGTGCACACTAGTAAGAATTTTGTTTCTACCCTGTGTTATATTTTGTTGCTAGAATATATATATATGCAGTAGGCATGCCTGTCTAACTATCTGGTTAATAAAAAGAGACATAGATACCAGTGTATTCATTAATCTTTAAAATTTAAGAAATTGAGAACTGTTTAAAGAAGATTCTCAGAGCCTAATTGATTTTATTCTTTCTCAACCATTGTGTTAGATTCACCTCTTTTGAATTTAGTTCAGTGGTTTGAAGATTAATAATGAATCAGTATCAGGTGTATTAAGGATTTTCTTGAAACAAACAAAGGTGAAATTCGCACCTTGGGGGTGAGCTGATATCAGAAAAATGGTAGAGACCTCTCTTCACCTGTATTGTTTAGAGGTGAGCTGGAATCAGTAAAGTGTAGAAACCTCTCTCTCTTCATCTGCATTGTTTGTTCATTTTGACTGCAGATATCCTAGGGTTCACTTCTTCTTATCGGATTACCAACATAACAAAAAGATTTTTGGATGCAGACTTGGAAAATTCATTTCAAGTTTTTTTCAGGTAAAGTTAAATTTATTTTTTTCAATTGTAGTTTTCAGCTTTATTGTAAAAGATAAATTATAGACATTTGATAAGTATTTTATGATATTGAGGAATCTTGCATCAAGAATGTGGTAGGTGAGGGGGCTACTATTACTGCAGGGCGACTTTGATTAGGTATGGTCGTGTTGTGCTATGGTCACATATTAGATCTATAAGACATCAAGTGACATCCTCTAATTCATACCTTTTAGACTTAAGAAAAAATCAAAATATTATGAAATTGGTAACCATTCAAATTGAAATCTATGTTATATATCATTTAAATAGGACTCAAAATGTCTGGTATTTTTGGTCTCCAGGACAATATATATGAAAAACAAGACAGTTTCAAGAGTCACTTCCTGTTTTTTTCTTTAGTAAAAAATTCTGAATAAATTTAGTAAACTTTTGTAGCTATCTCTTACAGATATTTTTTTCAAAGACTTACTGCAAAAAATAATTTTCAAAACAAAAACAGAGAAATGAAGAGTATTCTTCAGATGAGATCCAGTGTTGTCAAGAGTAATTGTCAAATAAGCAAGACCTCAGGATCTTATGACACTTCTTATTGATATAATTGTGAAAAAAATGTAATAACTAATTTTATTCTATATTTATAGATTTAAGTCTAGAAGAAATAGCGGAGTGAATGAGGTTGATGACTATGGTGTTGTATAATGAAAATAGGAAAATAAAGAGTCCTCCTAAAACAACTTGGTTTATAGCAAACCAAATATCTGATTTCATTCTGTGAAGTGCTACATGAATCTACAGTTCTACCAGTGTTTATAGGGTTCCTATACCTTGCATCTTGTTATTGTGTATTTTAGAATTAAAAAGTTTTGATTGTTGTTGTTTTTATACACCCACGTCTCTATGTGGACGTATATTGTCGGCACCCCTGTCCGTTCTTCGGTCCTGCCGTCTGTCCTTCAACATTTGCTTGTAAATGCTCTAAAAACTAGATACACATACATGTGTATACACATTCATAAAACGAAGATCAAGTTGGAATTTGAGCTATTTTCGACTGTTAGAAGCAGAGTTATTGCCCTTGCCCAAAAATCTTGAATATGCTATTACTCTCTTAGTTTTCAAACGATTTTGATGCAACTTAAAATGGATGTAATTGGACCTAAATCGAAAGGTTTGAGAAAGTTTAGTTTACTTCTGATTAAATTTAAGGCTTTTTCGATTTAGGCCTCTTCCATCAGTTTTGAGGAGTTATCGCCCTTTAACCTCTATACAGTAAGTGCTTCTATCAATTGCTCGTAAACACTCTAAAAACTAGAGTATTTGAAGGAATCAAATGAAATTCTGTATGTGCATAATAATTCATGAAACGAAGGTCCGTCGGTCGCCCGTCAACGATTGCTTGTAAACGCTCTAAAAACTAGATTTTTTAATGGAATCAAATGAAATTTGGTATCTGTATACATATTCATAAAACGAAGATCAAGTTCGAATTTGAGCTATTTTCGACTGTTAGAAGCAGAGTTATCGCCCTTGCTGCAAAATCTTTAATATTTACCATTATGGTGGGCATATAGGTTTGGCCATTATCTTTATTGTCCTTTTCCTGTCTGTCAACATTTCTTGTTAGTACAATAGAAGCTACTGTGATTGCCATTTAGTAATTGCTTTTCACTAAGTAACAGCAAATTCAGCTTGTAGGCATACAAGAGGTTTCATCTCATTTGCTAAGAGTTTTCAGATCTGGAACAAGTTCAAACCCAGAGATGCCAACAATTTCGTTTTGACTTGTAATGAAATTGCAATTTAAAAAAAAATCCTGTCAGTTATCCAGTCACAGAGAAAGAGCATTGAAAATTGTGAAGGTTATCATTTCATTTGAGTTTTCAAGAATCATGGAATTGACTACTTGTAATATATCTTTCAGAAAATTTATGAAATCTGAGTTATGCATCTTATTGCTCTGGGTACATTGTCAATCATAGTACATCCCTTGTTCAATGGTTTGAAAGTTTATATTCACTTTATCCTAGAAAAGTTTGAAATAACAAATATTTCCATGATATAGCAAGAATATTATATTATTTATGTGAGCAAAACTATTAAAAATGTTGATTGTTCTTCTATCCAATTTCAGAAGTTGTTTGAAGGTTCATTTCTTTACCAAACAATTCATTAAAATAAAGGAAACTTCCGAGTGAATGACTCCCTGAAAAAAATGTCTACACTATATCCATGGTGTGACTGTATGGGCATGTTCCTCTTTAAAATAATCTTACAAGATTGTGTTATTTATTTTGTAGGTATCATCGGCATATTTATGGTCTTGGAGAGCATTATAATTCTGTTGAACCAATATCAGGAAGTGATGAGGTAGACCAAAGTTAGCACTGTGTAATATGAAAGTGAGAAATGGTTGTAGAACAAGGTTTTGTGTAAAAATAACTAGCATAAATAAAAGGAACATTATGCATATGTGTGAACAATGCATCAAAAGTATGGTTTCACTACACATGTGCATCTTTTGTTTGCCTAACTTCAAAATGACAGATGTGATGTAGACACTGTTAACAGCTTGCTTCTTATGTAAACTCAGCTTAATCACCAGGAAAAATATATCTAAGTTTGATTATGTTGTCTTTATCAAGAACTTTGTTGACTTCTCACCATTTTGAAGAACAAAAGTAAAAATATCACGTGACATATTTTGTTGATCGAGAATATAATATGGGCCATTGATACAAAGGCGTTAATAATCCAGATTTGACAGTCCAATCAAATTGAATTTTAATTTTCTGTCTTGTTCAAAATAATATCAAATGTATTTTATTTTGACACTAAATATTGGTGTGTATTGAAATGTAACATGTCCTGTACAATTATTTATTTTCATAAATTAAATTTGACAAGTAGAAAGTTTATACATTGATTGAAATTGAAGCACTTTACTGAAGAAGAAAATATGAACTGGGATTTCCTCTGAACATGAAATTAAAGCAATGCTCAGACTGTAAATTATTTGTACAATAAAAGATTGAAATTAATTGGTCAATTGCTATATTATTTGGTCTATTATCAACTAGTTTTAGCTGCAGAAGCACCATCTTCAGCTTTCTCGGCAGTATTCTGATCATCTGGTTTCATTGCAGGAAATAATAGCACTTCCTAAAATACATAGATTTTTTACACATAAATCATTGAGAGAAATAGTTGGCATTGTAGAAATGTCTACTTTCATTGCAATAGCAACGTGTAATTTGGTTAAGCTGAGTAGATGCCACATATTACATATCAATAAGTGTAACCTACCTTAATATTATTAGAATCTGTTAAGAACATAGTTAATCTATCAATACCCATACCCCAACCACCAGTAGGAGGTAAACCATATTCTAGAGCTATACAGAAATTCTCATCTATAAACATAGCTTCATCATCACCTGCAGCTTTAGCCTAAATACAAAGAACATTGTTTACAAATATACCATAAAAACATTATCAGTAAATGTAAACTCTCTAAAAAATAATTTTGGAGACAAACTTGTCATGGAGTAGCAATGTTCTGAAAGGATGAACATCTAATAATAAATATACAAATAAGAATGACATTAAAAAACACATAATTGTTACCTTTGATTGCTGTGTAAACATATTTCTCTGTACTACAGGATCATTTAATTCAGTGTAGGCATTACAGATCTCTTTCTTACAAACAAACGCTTCAAATCTTTCTGTTAAACCTGGTATAGATCTATGCCTGTAACAAATTAAAATTCTAAATATTAGTTACTGAATGACCTTTTTCTACATTACAAACAAAAAATAATTCCACAAACATGATATAGAAATACATGTTGGTGCAGTATTCAAATATTCACCCTAAGATTCAGTTTTATATCTGCACGAAGACTGATAAAATATTTGTGTACCTACCATTTAGCTAGTGGACTCATGATTTGTGGATGTTCAGTAATAAATGTAGGATTAATTATTTTCTCTTCAATATAATCACCAACAAGCTGAAATATAAGACAAACACTCAATTAGTCAAAATATAACATATGAAACAGATTTGTCTGCTACAACAAAGCTAAGTTTTGTTACAATGCAAAAGAGCAACTTATCATGGAACTTTCAAAATATATAATTTGGTAAACAAACTGATAATAATGATCATTATATTAAATATTAATAATCTCAACAAGTACTACTTTGTTAAAATTCAAAGGGGACAGGGGTTGAAATAGCTCAATAAAAGATCACACAACATGAAACTCGACACAATTATAAAAATACTACAAAACATTTTGAACGACTAGTATGTCTACATGAATAAAGTCTATTGAAGCTGTGAACTATTAAGAATTAAGTAGTAGGAGATTCAAGTAAAACTAAATGATTCTGTACCTTATCTAATAACCTGGCTGTAGTTCTAGGTGCTGTACAGTCTACTTGATGTTTCACACATAAATCATCAAAAAACTTTCTAGTTTCTGTAATAAAGTAAACTTGATCATTTCAGTCTGCTTGTTAGCAATAATACTTCAGACAACAGAAACAGTCACTTGTGTGGTTATGGACTTATTTAGAATATTGAAACCAAGTTGGCAATAGAATAAACATCACATCACCTAGGGTCTTATAATTATTTCAGTTTAGTTCTCGGAACCTGAGACAGATTGTGATACAAGCTGGCAGCTGACAATGTTAAAACTAATATAGAACTGATATCATTTAAGTGTTTATCAGAACCAGGATTATATTAGTTTGATCCCAAAAAACAAAACTTTAGTCTAGACTTGTAAAACTTCTTTCTCAATGACTAAGCATGATGAACAGGTAAAATCATTAAAATAATTATATATTTACCTGGTGTATCAAATGTTGTTGGATCAGGAAATTTAACATTTAATAATCTCTCTAATTCTGGTATTAATCTAATACGTTTAAATGGTGGACTATAATCTACTTCTACAGCTTCACCTTCTGGTCCATCAGGATGATATATAACTTTATAACCACCAAATAAACTCTTTACTAACCCTAAAATACATAAGCAGCTCTAATTATTAACATATTATACATATATATATAACTAGCTTTACTGATGATGAGTCTGTTATCTGAAACTGGTGTATATAGTTTTAGAAATATTCTCACCATGTTAAATTTAAGACCACATCTTATAAACTTACCTGAGACTAAGGTTTCTGTAATATTCATAAGATCATTATAATCAGCATAAGCCATGTAAAATTCACAGGTGGTAAATTCTGGATTGTGGGTCATATCAATACCTTCATTTCTAAACTGTTTACCTATTTCATAAACACGATCTAATCCACCTACCACCAACATCTAGAATTTTAAGAAATATATTTAAGAAGGTGTTCTTCAGTGCAGGAATACAAGCCTGTTATTACATTTAATTGTCACTTACTCCAAAAAAGGGGATCACAGGACAAATGGTTGGCCACCTGTGCAACATTTCCCTGATGTTGATAATACAATAAACTATTATATTAATGGAATAAAAGAAACAATCAGTTTTCTGAGGCGAAACTGTCTGGTAGCTTTCCTACCTTAAGATATAATTCAGGAGCAACTCTCATATATAAATCCATACTTAAATCATTATGATGAGTAACAAAAGGTTTAGCTGTAGCACCACCAGGTATCATATTCATCATTGGTGTTTCTACCTGTAATAGAAAGAAACTGAGTAAACAGGATTAAGGTGAAAATGTCTTATTCAATATCACTCGACTTTCATGAACCCAACCAAGATCTTCAAAATACTTGTATAGTTCACGTTCAGTTCAGTTTCAGCATATCAAGTAAACATATTCTCATTAACCAGAAGATCTGGAAATGGTGTTGATGAAGATACATGGCTTGATATAAAGAATGTCACTCACCTCCAAAAAACCCATATTATCGAAGAATTTTCTAATATAATTGATGATTTTAGCTCTAGTTATAAACTTCATTCTTACTGGTTCATTAATAATCATATCTAAATATCTCTGTCGGAACCTAGTTTCCTACAATCAAATCAACATCACATTATACATAAAACAGCATATACTTCTTTCAACTATTTTACTACTACTGTTTACAATCAAATGAGGTCTATTTCCAGCATGCTACAAATACATGTTGAAATTCAATTCTTATCTTCCAGATGCTTGTTTGTGGTAAATTTAACTTGACAGAATGACAACAATAGTATATTGTCTGAAGATCGCATAGCATGAAACTCTGAGTAACAAACATGTTTTTTTAGGTTCTATTTAATATTTCTATATATAATAGTATGTGAGTTAATTTCAAATTCTTTTTTTTTTATTCTTTATGCTTAAGACAACTATCAAAGAGTTATTTCTGCTGGAGGGTTTTCTATAAGCATAAAGAAGATTATAGGTTGTAAACATACATGTGTCTAAACTATTTTAGCTTTAAGTGTACTTACCTTGTCCTTAACACCATAATACATATGTGGTAACTGATGTAAGCATGGTGATAATAATATTAATCTTGATGGTATGATACTTAATTCACCAGTCTTAGTTTTACCTATAATAACATATAATATAAATCATGGTGATAATAATATTAATCTTGATGGTATGATACTTAATTCACCAGTCTTAGTTTTACCTATAATAACATATAATATAAATCATGGTGATAATAATATTAATCTTGATGGTATGATACTTAATTCACCAGTCTTAGTTTTACCTATAATAATGAATAATTAACTCACGATTCATGGTATCACGCAATTTGATTGGATAACAGCGGTCACGTGAATTAGGTTAATATCTGTGTAAACCGAATGTAAATATAAGCTCCGCCCCTTAACAGACTACTTTTATCATTGACGTGGCCACTACACAACGTCGATGTCTTTCCTTCGAACGTCACCAGAGCCGAAATCTACATTTCACTGCATGATTACGGTATTTTCCAAATTCCCTCGAATGTTCACTCTCCAAATATCAACAAAATCATGATTTTTGGACTTATTTCGAACTCGTCTTTCAAAAATTGAACTTTCAATGTGGCCGCTCCGTCAACTTTCATGCAATAGACAGTAGACTATAAATAGGTGACCTACTTATTGCCGATTGGCTGTTCTCTAGGACGTCTCTATTGTTAGTATCACTTCATTAACGTTATGTTAAAATTTTAGGTATTTTTTCAGTTTATCGATGTATAAACAGAAAAAACCTGTGTACTCTGTATAAATCAGCGTAGCGGTTTATACATAAGTGTACACAGGTTTTTTCTGTTTATACATCGATAAACTGAAAAAATGTTCAGGTCATTCCTTAAATACAAACAAAGGAACAGAAGTATATG